GGACGGACGGATGGATGGATGGCGTGTGTGTCAAACAGGTGGTCAGGGAGGTGGGTAGGGAGATGAAGGAGTGGAGGGAAGAACATGGGCTCTTCCACGTTCCCTTCTTCAGAGGCCCTCAGGCGGAGAGAACCTTGGCGCCCTCAGTTCTAAGGATCTGCACATACAGCTCTCTAGCCACCCCAGGAGAGCCAAAGGCCTGGGCGTGAGAGCTGGGGCAACACGGTGCCTCACGGTGACTAGGCCTGGGTTGGGGAGGGGGTCACGAGCCAGTTGGCAGCACAGAGTCACCACAGTGGGGTGGCAGTGTGCACCCCGAGGCGGGCAGAGCCTGGCCTCTCCCGAGGGCATCAGGCAGTGGACACCTCCGGGCCGTCACCAACTGGGGGGGCCTTCCTGGAAGATGTGCTCCATGAATGGGGGGATGGGAGGGGCCAAAGGCAGGAAGACAAAGGAGGGAGCCTTCTCCTGGCATCTCCCCTCTCCCCTTGCAGGCAGGCCCACCTGACAGGCTGCTGGGGCCCATCTGCTGGGCCAGGATGGCTTTAAGCTTCTTGATCTCCTCCTGGTACTCGCGAAGCAGGGCATCCTTGGGGTCCTCGTTGATGCGCGGCTTGTTCTTGATGTTCTTGGCTCGGTTGGCGTAGCGCAGCGTGCTGAGTGTCTCGTCGTAGTTGTTGTCGGCCGGGGACAGGCAGGCCACCATCAGCGTCTTGGTGTTGCCCCCCAGCGAGTCCTGCAGGAGCCGAGTCAGCTTTGAGTCCCGGTAGGGGATGTGCCTGCTGCGTCCGTCCACCAGGGCAGAGATGACGTTGCCCAGGGCAGACAGGGACAGGTTGATCTTGGTGGCCTCCTTGAGCCGCTCCCCTGTGGCGCCGGTCTTAGACTGCCGCTCGCTGCCCGCCAGGTCCACCAGGTTCAGCTTGCCTGCCCGGAGGTGGTCCTTGCCCCGCTCATCTGCAGACAGACCAGGTGGAGAGGAGACAGCCTTCAGGCGACCCTCCAGGTACTGAGAGTTCCCCGCCCACCCAGGGGCCCACTTCCGCCACGCGTAAGCCCATGGGAGGGGGTGCTGCCCATCCCACAGACCAAGAAACTGGGGCTCAGAGAGGACAGACAGCTCTGCCACAGTCACACAGCTGCTAAGAGGTGATGTTAAGATCAGATCCCAGGTGTGTCTGACTCCAAAGGCAGCCAGGGGTCCTTGCTGATGCGTCATCGGTGAATTACAGTCTCCAATGAGGATGAAAACAAATCAGCTTTGCTGCTCGGAACCGGGTTCCCATCCCAGGTCTACCTCACCTGCTGTGTGACCTGGGCAAAGCTACGCACCTCTCTGATCCTCTTGTCACAGATCAACAAAATGCGACTAACTACAGCCCCCACCTGGGACTCCTGGGAGGGGTAAAGCAAACTGCCACCTCATTTCCACACGGTCAACACAGGGAGAGCGCTAGACTGGGAGCCATAAGGTCAGCGGTTCAAACTCACCAGTGGTTCCTGGGGAATAAGATGAGGCTAGCTGCCCCCATACAGATCCACAGCTTCAGAACCCCTCTCTGGGGTCCCTGTGAGTCGGCGCTGACTCGATGGCAGTGTTTGGTTTCTGGTGGCTCTGGTCTGAGGAGGCCTAGTGGCCCAGTGGTTAAGAGCACAGCTGCGAACTGCAAGGTCGACAGTTCCAGCTCCCCTCGCGTCTGCGCAGGAATGGCCTGGCCACCTGCTCCCATGGAGGGCACGGCCCAGATGACCCCGGGCGCAGCTCACCTCCATCCCACCGTGGGCTCACTACCAGTTGGTAACATCAGTGGCACCCGAGGCCAGCACCACCCGGGTCTGGAAGGCTCCCGGGCTGGGAGGGCGGGCCCTGGCCTTCAGGGGTGGCAGGAGAGCCAGGCACAGCTGGTAGTGTGAGCTCAGCAGCAGGGCTTGAAGAGCGGGCCCGGAGGTCTGGTGCGGTTTCTGCCTCTCGGTCGCTGTGCGGCTCGGGGAGATGACACCCTGACTCTGAGCCTCGGCCTTTCTCTCAGTGAAATGGAGCTCCAGCCTCCACCCTGCAGGGTTGCTGTGAGGACCGATGTACAGCACACAGGTTTGCATCTGGCTTCTTATATGAGAGCTCGCTCCTCTGGGTATCTTCGATAATTCTTACTGTCACCAGATTACATCATAAAATTAAAATTTTAAAAACGCACTGCCATGGAGTTGGTTCTGACACAAAGAGACCCCGTAGGACAGGGTAGAACTGCCCCTGCGGGTTTCTGAAACCAGATTTTATGGAGTAGAAAGCCTCATCTTTCGCCCACAAAGCAGCTGGTGGTTGCAAACAGCTGACTTTGCAATTTGGCCAATGCCAACCCACGATGCCACCAGGGGTCCTGACTGCCTCATAAATTGCCACCTGGAATGAGATGGCCACATTTCTTATGACTGGGCTGGGCCCGGCCCCGGAGAGGAAGCGAGAGAGCTTCCCCTCCGTTGGCTGCTGGGTGAAACAGAGAGGGGCCTGGGTCGGCCGCCATGAGCACAGCTGCCTGCAGGAGGGAAGCCGTTGGCTGAGCACGTGAGGGGTCAAATTCTGATTCTCTGAGTCTCCCTGTCGCTATGGGATGTTATTTTTCTGTTTCATCAGAAAAATAATCAACATCTTCTAAACTAGTTTTCACAGCCCGGTCTGTAGATTTCTATCCTTCGTTCTCCTCTCACTCAGTAACTTCCAGAAAAAAGGGAGAGAGAGACACAAGAAGGAAACAAAAGCGAAGTCAAAGAGCCTGGCTGATGGACAGCCCGGGACGGACCCCCTGTGGGACCTCCATGTCCCCATCTGTAAGGTGGGGACGCATTAACATAGTGTGCCCTCCCAAGGAAAAAGGAGATGGCCACCTGGGTCTCTCTGAGTGTCACTTCATTTGGAGTCCGGGCCTCTCCTATGTAAAGTAAGGGTCTCCGGGTGAGACAATGCGGGAGGACGAAGGTGGGCCCCGAATAAAATGACACATGTTTTTATGAGCGAGAGAAAAGAGAGAGTCGGAGAAGAAGGCTAGAGAAGATGGAGGAAGCAGACATTGGGGTAGTGCAGCTACAAGCCAAGGGTACTAGGACTGCCCGAAGCCACAAGAGGGAGAGGCGCGGGCCAGAGGAATCGTCCTGCACAATCAACATCTTGCACGGTGACTTTGGCCTTCCAGCCACCAGAGCTAGAGGAGGATACGTTCCCGTGGTTATAAACCACCAAGTTTGCAGCAAGTGCTTCGGCAGCCTTAGGAAACCCAGGCAGCGCTGCTATGAGAACGAAGGGACGCAATGCACTTGAAGCGCTGAGCATGCGCCGGGCACGCGTGCATGCCAGGGTTCACTACTGTCACTGGATCGTCCCCTCCTGAGCTGTGTCTCTGCCCAGTGTCAGAGGGAGTTCCAGAGGCTCCCGGAACTGAAGTGCCCGGCCCGGAGACAGCAGAACGCTGCCTCACCTCGCTGCTCTGGCCCCACATACCCACAGTGCAGATCTCAATGCTGATGGTGAAGATGGAGTGGGAGCGGGAGGAGTCCTTGTTCATCAGGGTGTAGCCCACGGAGCGGTTCTTCCAGCCCGTCTCCATGATGCGCTCGCACTGGGCCACGCTGTGCACCGTGTGCATGGACAGCCCCCTCACGTACACGCCCTTCTCCGGGTGCTCCTTCAGCTGCGGGCAGAACCACGCAGGGTCAGGGAACCGGAAGTGAGGGTCCAGCCGGAGCTCCCTCTCGCCCACGCAGCTCAGGCTGGTACCTCCGATGCCCTGTACCTGCCCCAGGCCCGGCCCCGTGCCCTGGGCCAGTGACTTCACTTTTCTGAGCCTCCGTGCCCACATCTATAAAACAGGCAGGAAATGCCTCTGGATGCGGTGAGGACTCAGACAATAAAGCCCCTGGGAAGGGGCTTCCAAAAGTCTGTGGAAAAACAGAATGGAAAGATCATGGCATTTCCCCCACAAACTTTTTGACGGTGCCATGCTGACCCCACAGAGCCTGGCGCATCCTAGCGCTCAAGCCGTGCTGGCTGCGGCCCTGGCCGTGAACAACATGACAAAGGTGATTTCCCCTCTGGAAGCCCTGTCTCCCGGGGTCCCGAGGGCTGACCCTGCCGTCAGAGCCCCACGGGCTCTGGCAGCGGGCACCCTGGCCCTGCCAACAAGGCTCCGCTGCCACGGCCCTCCCAGCTCCACAGTAGCAGACGCCTCCCCAGGCCCTGGGCCCCAGCACCCGGTGACTGGCCTCTGGCTGCCCCCAACACCTGTTAGCACCCAGCTGCAGCAGGCCCCCAGCCCGCAGCGTCACGGCGGTGAGCACGTGACTTTACCGGATCGGGCCTGCTCACTTTCTAGGCAGCCAAGCTGTTCCGCTCTGATACCCGGCTGCGACACACACCGCGTCAAGTGCGAAGGGAAACAAAGCTACTCCGGCGACAGCCGAATACATTAAGTCAAGGTTTGTCTGTCTGTCAAGCGCCTGTGGGCCCTGCTGGGGAACCACAGAGGCTCCCAGGCTTGGGTTTGGGCATGAGGTGGGGGGCGTTCTCCAGGGCCAGTCCCCCTTTGCTGCAGTCAGGGGACAAGCACAGGCCTGCCCTTTCTGAAAACGAATGGGTGAAGCCAGGACAGCCTGCCCCAGCCTGCAGCTGGTCCAGAACTGGACTTCAAGAAACATATGCAAGCCACCGTGGCCCATCTGTTGAAGGTCACAGAGCTACTGACAGGGCAGCAAAGAGATCCCAGCAAGATTACAAGGAAGATGGGGGGCAGAGGCTGGGGTGGGGGAAGGGGTCAGGGCATTTTGGAGTGGGTAGGGTCAGGAGAGGCTGGAGCCTCCTGTAGTAACTGAAGCGGGCAGGGACAAAAGGCTGTGCTAGAAGGTGAACGAGGTTGCCCTGAGCCAACCCTGACACCCTAGGGGTGGGGGACTGCCTGCCAGCCCTCATGCTGGCAGACGGACTGTGTGCCCAGAGAGCACACACCACACCCCAGGGAACCCTGCGGGCACTCAGGGCCCAGTCAGACAAAGGTGGCTCGAGCTGGAAACCCGATTCTCCCCCTTGCTCGTGTGTGTGAACTTGGGGAAGTCCGTTTGCCTCCAGCTTCCTCCTCTGTAGGATGAGAACAAGGAGCCTTCGCGCTGTCGGGCTGTTTCCAGGAGCTCTGCTGACTGATAACAGTTGGCAGCTGTGTCCGAAAGGCCTGCCGGTCAGCTCCCAGAAAGATTCCGTCGCGAACGCCTTGGGGGCAGTTGCACTCCACTCGGTCTCGCGGAGGGGGTGGCTGTGAGCATCAGGACTGATAGACGACGAAGGGCGTTCGGCTGGACAGTCATATGGCGGGGGAGGATGCTCCGTCTGGGGCCTGACCTACCGCAAGCTTCTGGTAGGCGCGAGGGAAGGACCTCTTACCCTGGGGGAGGACCCCCACTGGTCTGATTTCTAGACCCAGAAAGGCAGAAGACGCACGGTGACGCCCCAGCGAGGCCCTGCACTCCTGGCTCACGCCCCTATCCCACCTCTGCGACAGGAAGACGCCAAGAGTGAGGCCCCACAGCTGCGCAGCACATTCCTCTCCTCGGGAAGTGCTTATGCGCAGTCAGTGCCTGATCACCATGGCAACCAGCGGGGGATGCAGCCAGGACAGAGCCCAGCTGCATCCAGGACAGGACTGGAGTCAGGAAACATCATCATAAGAGGGGGAGGGGAGGCGGGCACTGTGCCCCCCGCCCCTGCCCTCACTGCATAATATTGAGAGTGTGCGGGTACAGGAGGCTGTGACTCTAATCTGATGCTTCCCAAAGGATCTTGTTGGCCTGAAAGCAAGCCTCCTGCTGCCAAGCCAACCCTGATTCCAGCAACCCTGGGGGGTCGTGCAGGGTACAAGGGCCCCACAGGGTTCCCCAGGCTGTCCATCTGTACGGAAGCAGACTGCCACCGGCTTCTCAGAGTGGCTAGACTGGTTCCCGCGGCTGACCGCTCAGTGGAACGCTTTAACCACTGCTCCACCAGGGCTCCCCTGCTGGCTTAGCTGATCTAACGAGAGCATGGGGCCTTGTTGGGCGTCCTATATTGACTTTATCTTCATCCTGCCGCTGCCCGGACTTATCCCTACTTTGCAGATGAGCCTTGGTGGTGTCGCAGATACACACTGGGCTGCTCACAGCAAGGTGGGCCGTTCGAAACCACCAGCCACTGTGGGAGAAAGACGCACCTTTTTATTCCTGCAAAGAGTTACTGTCTTGGAAACCCACAGGGCAGCCCTGCCCTGTCCTACAGGGTTGCTGGGCGTCCGCATGGCCTCGATGGCAGTGAGGAAGGTCACACCCAGAGGCTCCGTGGGAAGGAAACTGTGGTCACCGGCGGCACCTAACTCTACAACTGAGCCCACTCCAGTGTCCCCAAGTCACACTCATCGGATGTGACTCCCAGAAAGGTCCTTGGAGATCAGCACCTGTGCCCCCACCCCACTCACTGGAGGATGAGGATTCAGAAACTGGAAGGGTGCGGTTGGCGCAGGAGATTCCTCAGCTGGGAGTTCAGCTCCTGACCCCAGGCTCCTCCCACCAAGCGCGTGTGCGCCCTGCACCAGGCAGCTTGTCCAAAACCTACAGTGCCCGTGGTGTTTCACGGACACATCTGCTGATCGTGTTGCTTGATCACCGTGCCTGAGGCCAGGGTCCCAGCTGGGCAATGCCGCGGCTGCCATCCCTTGGCCCTACAGAGCCCAGGCCTTCAAATACAATCCAGGGCGTCTAGGACAGCCGCCTGTTGCCCTGGTACCGATCAGGTAGAGTGGGCAGTGGATCCGGACCCACCAGCGGCTCCCGGTGCTGGTGCCTTCCTCCCCTCCCTATCCCCCCATCTGGGGGCTGAGCTGTGACTCAGCTGCGCCCGCTCGGGAACTGGGAAGAGCAGAAAGATTCCAGGTGGGCGGAGGCACCTTCCCAGAAAAGCAAAATGCTGCTGTGTTTGAGATGGAGTCTGAGGGGACGGGTGGGAGCGTCCCCAGCAGGAGTCGGGTCTGCGTGGAAACTGTGCATCTGGTGCAGCCTGGGGCCTGGCACCTGGATCCCACCAGGCTCTCCGGCAAAGTCTCTGTGGACTGAGTGAGCCCTCCTCCACTGAGTGAGGCCGCCGAGGGCGTCACGCCATCATCCGGCAAGCTAGCCATCTATCGGACAACCCTCTGCGGTCAGCCAGGAGCTAATTTTCAGAATAAAATCGCCAGGCCTTTCTTCCCCATCTGTCTCAGTCTGGAGGCTCCAGTGAAACCGGTCACCTGTTGGCATTTGAAATACCGCGCAGCTTGCGGGACACGGCAACATGAAAGCCACATACCACAGCAAGCAGACAGACGCTGGCATTGTCCGTGGAGGGGGGTGGCGGCGGGAGGCTCCAGGGAAAAAGCTCCTGACCACTCTGGGCCCACAAACTCTGGTGCAATGCTGTTGCTAGTATTATGCTGTGTGACCTTGACCATGTCCCTCCCCCTGGCCCCCCTCCCCCAAGGCACCAGTGTTCTCATGGGCATCAGGGAGGGGTCCACTAGAAGCTCTGTAAGGGGCTCTGGGCTTCATTTAGAAGGACATGTCCATGCTGTGAACCAGTTCACACAGGTTTTTGAGGACTGGCACTCTCGGGGGCCTGGTCTGTTCTGTTGGGTCATAGAGCGGCTGCCCCTCTTTCCCTGACCTTCAACTCACCCTGGGGAAGCAGGGGACCTGGGAGCTGAGCAGAGGTTCTAGAGCCAGGCAGGAGAACAGGCCTGCCCCCGGGGGGTGGCCCAGGTGGGAGCCAGGGGAGTCCTGTGTCCAGAGGGACAGATGGTTTGAGAGCTGTCACCTGGTGCCTACTTCTCTGACAGTCCTAAACTGTCAGTCCTGGATTCCACTCTCCCCAGGCTCGCCCTTGGCCACTCCCCTGTCCCAGTCTCTGACTCCTGACACCATGGAATGAATAGCTCACGCAGCAAACATCTACCACGTGTCAGCCCTCCACAGCTCCCTCGTCGATCCCCACAGCAGCCTCCCTATAAGGCTGCACCAGGAGTCCTGGGGGGCCCCGTGGCAGATCCCTCTCACAGGGTGTGTGCAATGGGCTGCTTGCAACCCAGAGTCTTGAAGGCAAACAGAGATGGGGGTTCAAGCCTAGACTTGGTCACTTATTGTTGTGTGAACCTTAGGCAAGGTCATTAGCTCCCAAACTAATTAGCCGCTAAGGAGAATCTATGCATTTGAATTGTGCTGGAGAAGACTATTGAAAGTACCATGAACTGTTAAAATAACATACTCATCTGCCTTAGAAGAAGTATGGCCAGAGTGATGGCGAGACTTCGTCTTATACACTTTGGACATGCTGTCTGTCAAGAGAGACCAGTCCCTGGAGAAGGACATCATGTGTGGTAAAGCAGACCCAACTCCGGGTTTCCGAGACTGTTGACTCTTATTGGGAGCAGTAAGCCCAGTCTTCCTTCCATGAAACTGCTGGTGGTTTCGAACTGTCGACCATCTGGATTGCAGCTCAACTTGAAACCATTACACTACAAGGGTTCCTCTTGGTAGAGGAGCAGCAAGAAAGAGGAAGGCCCTCAAGGAGATGGATGGACACAGTGGCTGCAACAATGGGCTCGACATGGGAACCATCAATTATGAGGATGGTGCGGACCAGGGAGGGTTTCCTTCTGTTGTGCATCATCAGGTCACTATGAATCAGAACCGATTCCATGGCACCGAACTAGCACCACAAGCCTCCCTCCCCTCATTGCAGAAGTCGCTCACGGTTCCTGTGAGAACAGAACGGGATGATGGGGAACATCCATGCTCATGATATGGTGGCCATTCTCTTCCTTTAGCTAGAAGAGCTCTGAGATTTTCAAAAGCCTTTGATTTTAGAAGTATAACCCTTTTTCAGCATGCAATCTTATACAAAAGACTCCCACTTCAACAGATCACACTGGCCCAGCTCCCCTGGGGAGTGGTGGGGTGGGAGGAGCCCCAGGAACCCCAACCCTATATCAGTCACTCAGTGAGCACCACACATTTCATGAAGGCTTTCTCAGAGATCAGTGGTTCAAACCCACCAGCCACTCCGAGGGAGGAAGAAGAAGCCACCTGCTCCTGTGAAGATTTATAACCTCAGAGAGACTCCGGAGCAGGGGTGCTCCATCCTAGGGGGTCACTGTGAGTCAGAATTGACCTGATGGGCAGGGTTGGGCTGGGTTTTTATCAGGAGCATTGGTGCTTAGTAGTGGACTGTTCCCCTTCCATGCAGACCTGGGTTCACTTCCTGGCCTATGCCAGTCAGCACCTTGCGCGTTTCTGAAGGCTCACTATCCGAGGCCAGCCTTCTCCCCAGTGCCCCCTGGCCCACGCTGGGTCTGTACCCACCTCTAGCTTCTGCTTGGTGTCAGCGCCCAACAGGTCACGGATGTCTTCGTTGTAGATTTCCAGGTAGGAGGCACGGACCAAGAACTTGGTGTTCTCTGCACACTGCAGACGGGACAGAGAGCAAGGGCACCTGAACCCACCTGTCAGACTGCCCTTGGGACCTTTGCAGCCAGTGACCTGGGGTCTCAAAGGCAGAACGTCACAGAAGGAGGGGAACCTGATGGCAAACCTGCCTGCCTAACAAGCTCTCCTCTCCAGCTCAGTGGACCCGGATTTCTCAAAACGTTGATTTCTCATTGCTCTGTGCTCGTCTGTGGGAGAAAGATGGGGCTTTCTACTCTCATAAAGAGCGACGTCTAGCCTGTCCTGTAGGGTCACCGTAAGTCAGAATCACCTTGATGGCAGCGAGGTATGCTTTGACTATGCTCTTGCTGGCCTCCTGGGAAGGACACAAGGGCCTCCACGTTGTTCAGGTAGAGAAATGAGGCCCCAGGTAAGGCTGGGGCTCAGCACCAGCCCTGGGCTGATCCCTGGGGCCCCTCTGGGTCTCTAGATGTTTCTGGGGGCCACCACCATGAGTTCTGAGAGCAGGACGGTGGGCTCTAGCTGGCCAGGTCCCTGCCTCACTCTGTCCTTCCCCAGCTGCAGGGTGGTGGGCTGCTGTGGATGGTCACCAGAGCCACTTGCACAAAGCGCGGAGCCCGGCTGCCCAGCCGGTGAGGGTTCTGCACCTCACTTCCCTGGCCCAGTCGCCTCCTGGGTCCATGTAGGAGTGACAAGAGCTGCCGTAAGGGGCAGCTGATTTTCCCCAGGCGTGGTCAATAAAGAACACACCTCTTCTTGCTAGGACCCACTTCTCAGGCTAGTGGAGAGGATTGGGGGTGGGGGGGCAGTAAAGGCGGAAATGATCCTATCTCTGTGGCATTATGAAGTGGTCAGAGAAAGTGGAGCTGGTCGAATTTTCCAGTTTTCTGGTTTTCCTCCCACCACCTTTTTAGAGACCAGAGCCCATCTCTGCCGATCCGTGCCGACGAAGCCCGGGCTCTTTCTGCCCCAGGTCCTCGCTACAGATCAGAAGGGCTCTGGGCCCCATTGGTGGCCATGGGGCTGGCGGGAGCCTACAGGGCTCCGGAGCAGCCACCTGAGTCCCTCCCTCCATCAGGCTCCTACCTGGACGCTCTCAAAAATGTGCTCGAAGGCCCTGGGGATGATGCCCCTCTGGGAGGAAGGGTCTGGCAGGCCCTGCATGGTGAAAGACTTCCCGCTGCCCGTCTGGCCGTAGGCAAAGATGGTGCCGTTGTAGCCCTCAGTGACACCCTGTGTGGGAGAAAGCCAAGTCTGGGTGCTCGGCTGACTGACGACAGCCAGGCTCTGGGCCAGGCCTGCTCCATGGTGTTGCCCCCAGACACTCCCCTGGGCCTCTCACCACGCTGTCACAGGACAGGGAGAGCAGGGAAGTGAATGAGACCCAGGCTGTGCACCCACCCCCTCCCCCTGAGCCAGGAGCTGACTGTCTGGGGAGTGGAGGGCTTTATCCGGCAGTGGTTAAGCGTTCAAGAGCTTGGGCTGTGAAGCCAGGCAGCCTGGGTCCAAATCCCATCAGGACTGCCTCACTGGCTGTTGAGAGATTTGTGTCTGTAATCCTAACCCCAACTCACACCTGTGGATGGATCCCCAGTGGCACCGAGGTCAAAGCAAGGGGCTGCTAACCGAACGGGGTGAAGCCACCAGGGTTGGACAAGCCACACAGTTACCCACACACACGACACTGGCCCTGCGGTGGAGTCCAGTGGGGAAAGCGGGGCGGCGTGCTTGTTCCCTGACTGTTGGTGTACGGCGTGTCCTGCTCTCAGGAGTTGCTGAGTTACGAGGATCAGCACGATGGGGCAGAGAGGCCACACGGGGGCCGGGGAACACCAGGGCTCAGAAACCCACCGCCGCCAGGGCAATGCAGCCTTATGGGACCTCTATAGGACAGAATAAAACCGCTCCTATGGGTTTCCAAGAATGTAACTCTTCGTGGAAGTAGGAAGCCTCGTCTGTCTCTGGAAGTGGTTTTGAACTGCTGACCTTGTGGCTAACGGCCCAGCGCATAACCACCGGAGCCACTGCCACCTTCACTGATACATCACAACTCCATGGACGGAAAGCCAAAATAAGCCTCCCAACTGGACCCACAGGTAACATCAAGCTTGAGAAAAAGATTGACGTCGTCAAGGATGTCGTCTTGCTTGGATCCACAATCAACGCTCATGGAGGCAGCAGTCAGGAGGTCAAAGGACGTACGGCCTTGGGTAAATCTGCTGCTGAAGGCCTTGTTCAAAAGCAAGGACGCTCCTCTGCGGACTCAGATGACCCAAGTCATCATCGTATTTTCAGTTGTCTCCTATGCATGTGAAAGTTGGACATTTAAGACCGAAGAAGAATCGATGCCTTTGAATTGTGGCTCTGGCAGAGTTCCGAAAGTGCCAGGGACTGCCCAACGAAGACACACACGTTGGGAACAGTACAGCGGGCACACTCCTTAGAGGACCAGGGCTTTGCCTCTGGTCCTTTGGAACGTGTGCTCTGGAGAGATGGGTCCTGAAGGAGGACGTCTGCTTGGTGAGCTCTAGGGGTGGTGAAAAGAGGAAGGCTCTCAAAACGACGGACTGCCACCGTGGCTGCAACCTACGAGCCATTGCGAGGACGGTGCAGGGCCAGGCGGCGTTTCTCTGTTGTTCAAAGGGCGCTTATGTCGGAGCCGACAGCGCCTAACAACAAAAGAAGAAGCCTCTCAGGAGGCGAGAGGCTGCACGTGTGTGCCTGCCTAGCCACCCACTTGTGGAATTTCTGTCACAGGCACACGTGAGCACTGGCTCGGTGCTTCGGGCAGGTCCTGCCAGGCTCACTGTGCCTGTTTCCTTCTTTGTGGTTAAGGATCGGAGGAGAATCACCGCCCATTGACATGGGGAGAGCCCTTGGCAGAGCAGACAGCACTTGGCACTGTTTCTGGCATGCGAGGCGCTCACAAAGTGCATGCTCGGAATGTGATGGCATTGGTGGTGGGGAGGGGGTGGGGCAGACCAACGAGGACACACACAGGTGTTTCTCCTATGAGGCAGGTGAGGAGAAGAGGAAGGAGGACGGACATTCGGGCAGTAGGCGAAGAGGGGGAGGGGAAATGGATGGGGGTGGGGGGAGGTGCGGCAAAGCTGCCCTGACCACTGAGAGCAGAACTGACAGGGTGGCTTGAACATTGACAGGTGGCCGTGTCGGGAAGGCAGGCACTCCGGGCCCAGAAGAAGTGAGACACCCTGGGGCCCCGTGGAGCTGGGGCTGGTTAGGAAGACAGGAGGTAGGCTGGGGAACACCTGCCATTCATAGAGCCAGCCATCAGTCACTCGGCCACTGAGCATGCTCTCTGGACCAGGCATGGTACTCCAGACCAGAACAGGGTAACCACTAGACAGGCACAGCCCTGCCCTGCGTTGAAGGAGAGCTGTGTGTCAGGGCCCACAGAACTGCTTCCAGGCCCCACCCAGCATCTCTGCTGCAGCCGCCTGCACAGAGACCCTGCCTGCAGGCAAGAACAGAGCTCAGCTTCCCAGGAACTGCTGGGGAAGAGACTGGAAGTCACCAGGGGACACCCACCTCGCTGTCAGAGGACACCAAGACCACCAGCCGGGAGGTACAGGGGGGGCTCCTTTGGGTGTGGGGAGAGGCAGTGGCACAGACAGCACCCAACTAGGAGTCAAAGCTTGGGGAGCTACGGGCACACAACCCCAGGAACCGCCGGAGCAGCCACCAGAGAACCGGTTTCAAAGGAACGTCGGAGAGGGCTCTTATACAACTGGACTAGAGCCTCAGAGGCGGGGTTGTGTGTGCAGGTGGTCTGTGACTCATCGAACCGTGGTGGCTTCAAAGCTGCTGGTGGGTTCAGGCCACCAATCTTTCAGTTAGTAGTCATGCTCTATATATGTGCCCACTGCCCACACTGGCCACTTTATTTGGCCACCCAAATCCTCACAACTGTACCGATAAGCAACATTGTAAAAACAAAATAAATAAATAAATAAAAGCTGTCAAGGATTTCATTTTATATGTTCATTGATCTATCATCAATGCCCAGGGAACTGGCAGTCAAGAATCAAATGATGGGCTCTATTGAGCAAGCTGCTGTGAAAGACCACTTTCGAGTGTCGCAAAGCAAAGCTGTCTCTTTGAGAACCAAGGTGTGCCAGACCCAAGTCAAGTATTTCCGGTCCCTGAGCCCAGGTGGCGAAGTGGTTAGGTGTTGGGCTGATAAACCGCCAGCCACTCCATGGGAGACATAAAGACTTACAGTCTCAGAAAGCCACAGGGGCAGTTCTACCCCATCCTCTGTGCTGGCATCGACTTGATGGCAGCGGGTTTTTTAGTGAGCCTGTACCTGCCAAAGGGATAAAGACCCAAGAAGAGCTGCTGTGTTTGGATTAGAGTGCTGGTGAAGAAGACCCAATATGCACCGGACTGACGGAAGACCTGACAAACCTGTCGTAGAGGAAGTAGCGCTAGAATTCTCTTTAGTATTGAGGACAAGGAGACCGTGTCTGCTTACACTGGACATGGTGTCTGGAAGGCCCCATCCCTGGAGAAGACTATCACACTTGGTAAAGCAGCCGATCCGTGAAAAAGAGGAAGACCCTCAACGCAATGGATTGACACAGTGGTTGCAACAATGAACTGGGAGCATGGTGCAGGATGGAGCCGGGTCAGGGTCCCCCAGGGCAGAGGCGCCACCATGCAGCCCCCCGGGTGCGCGAGCCGGCCTGACATGGAAAGTGAAGCTCGCCTCATTTAAGAGGAGGCAGCAGGACAGCTATGGAGACTGGGCACTGCTGGGCACCAGGATTGCTCCGTGGCTCTCCAAGCCCCAGTTTCCACATCTGGAACGAGGACTTCCAGTGTACACATTGACCAGCTCCTGTGCTGGTAGACCAAGGCTACACACTGGTCTCTCTGCCTGGAAGTCCCTTGCCTCCACCTTCTTGACTGGCCAACAGCCCTCATCCTTCAGGTCTCAGCTAAGCATCATTTCCAGAAGTTCCCCCCGGCCCCCCACCCCACCCCCTCCAAGTTCAGGTTTGCTGGCCTTCTCCAGCTTCTCAAAGCCCCCAAGGTTGCTTCATACTCTGCTTCCTGAGAGTGGGTCTGAGCTGCTAGTTGCACTCAGAGCTCCCAGCTGCTCCTCCATCTGCCCATGAGTATGCTGAACTTGCTGAGGGCAGAGCCCCACCCTAAGTGTTTCCCTGCCTGGTATCGAGATGCTGCCCAGTCAGCTGAATGAATGGGTGAATGAGTGGCGTGTTGAGGCTTCGTGGGATGCTCAGAGGCAGGTGATTGACAGAGAAGGGCAAGCTGGAGAAGAGTCGGGCTCTGCTTCCCCCTGTGGAGTTGGGCTCCCCAGGGGGCTCCTCCCAAGAAGGGAGGCTCTTCCAGAATGAAGAGGCAACCGAGAGAGAATCCACCCCCTGAGCAAGGTGGAAGGCCCTGCAGGTGAGAAGCCAAAGAACAGCTCTCTTCAAATCTTCAAGGTGGCTGTCCCGGATGGAGGAAGCAGGGGCGTCCCTTTGGGGTCCCTGGGCACACCTTCAGGGCGGCTTGCTGAAGGCGGCAGGGAGGCAGGTTTGACGTAGCACGACTTAGCATTTTCCAGGTGGCAAAAGGTGGACGGGGCTACTCTAGATGTGTAAGCAGCAGCTACTCCTACTCGGGGGTGATTCGAAGACCCAACGGGGGATGGGCTGAAGTAGATGACCCCCTCCCCCCAGGTCTTTTCCACTCTGTGAGTCAATGACAGTAGGACAGCCCCATTATCCCTAGAGCTTGGGACCACCCCCTGGGGGAGAACTGTCCCTTGTCCCCTGGGCATCCTCTCTAGTCAGGTCCTGGTCAGTGGTGAGCCCTGTGTTTTAGAACACATCAAGTCTCTACCCAGGTTCCACCAACTCTTGCCAGAGAAGCACAGGCAGCCAAAGGAGGTATGCTCAGGGGTCACCTGGCCTGCCAGGGCCAAACAGAAAAGATACCAAACGGTGGGCGAGGGCTATGGTCCCTTTACTTGGATGCTGCTGGTAGGGAGGAAGGCGCGTTTGGCCAGGTGAGAGGTGCATTTCCACTCTCAGGACCTCTGCTTTCCAACCAGTGAAATGTGAGTGCCTCTCATAAGGCTCAAAGGAGCTACATAGCGTCAGAAAGCTATTTTCTCCCTCTTCCACAACCACCTGGAAGTAGACAGATGATATACATGGAACCACAGCTGAAGGGCTTCTGCTCCCCGCAGAGGCAGGTCAACCACCTTCTCGCTGCAGAAGCCAGAGAGCCGGGAAGGTCTCTCAGAAACCTGGTACACAGGTTTGCACCTGCACCTCCGGATCGGATTGGATCCGTGGGGCTTTGAAGATTCTGAGTGCAGGGCTGAAGGGGCCTTCGGGGAGGGGGGTGGGGAGGAGGAGACTTGGGGCTGCTGAGCTGGCAGGATGTGGCTGGGTAAAGTGTAAAGTCGCTGGAGATTTTACACGAGGCCAAGGCCGGGGCGTTGGAGTTCTTATGGAAGAGGCGGGGG